TGGTTCGACCTTCTTCTAAGCCGATATCCCCATTTAGTCGTATACTGAAGTATGTTAATTTTTTTGACCACTCGTGACGAGCTTCCCTTGATGTTCCATGCTCATTCAACTGGGTCCACCTCTAGATTCTGCATGGTGATCGTTGGAGCATATATTGTGAATTCATCATTCTCTATGACTCTGACTTTTCTGAGGAGATCCTTCCTGATGGTGATCGGTACCCTAGAATCCTTATCTAAGTGGCTCACTGTGTTGCCTGGGGTAAAGATTGAATACATATCCGCTTCCAACCACTGTTTATCTGGTCCTACCTCCTGACCAATTCGAAAAGCTTGCTGGGGTTCTACACTTTGACTCCAGGTTGCCCAATCACCCCATCCCCATTTGTATGGACCACTCAACATCCTCGTCCAATCCTCCGGAATGGAGATTAATATGTCGTTCAGGTTTTCAATTAGTCTATGACACCCCTTCATTTCTTCCCTCAGTTCTCTACCCGTTTTCCATCTTCCATTCAATTCTGACCATAGATGTTTCACTTGCCATACTCCATGTTCCAACCAGTTTCCCGACTTGGCATCCTTTGCTGTGAGTGTCCTTGGTTTTCCTTGGGGGTCCTTCAACCATGGATTACAAAATAACGGTTGCCTAAGTACTTCCTCCTTCGTCCTTGGTTTTCTTACTCTTGCCGGGAATATATCTGTCCAAATCTTAAGTATTTGAGCCCAATATGCATTCCTGATCGAATCATCTTTCCCTTCCTGTATTCCTTCTCTTCTCCTTTTGGCCCAACCTTTACAAAAAAAACAGAACGTTCCTTCCATATTAGGAGGAGTTTTATACTTAGCCATCCCTCGTATATGGTCCAAAACCAATGGAACCCATCGGAGATGGGGTTGTGTGAGTAATTTGATAACCCATTTAGTTTGGAGTGCTTTGATCTGCTGACCCGGATCGAGGATTCCCAAATCCCCCTGATCCTTTGTCTGAATAACCTGTCTCCATGCTACCTTTGAAATATAATTTATCTTAGTAGGGTTCGCTGTCCAGAGGTATGCTGCTGCCTCTCTCCTGAGCTTGTTTAGAGAGTGTAATGGAGGTGTCCATATTGTTCCAGCGTACCATAACATGGAGAAGATAGAAGCGTTTAATATTAGTGCCCTCCCAAAAAGTGACATGTAAATTTCAGACCATACTGACATTTTGGCGAACATTTTGGTCATCTGCTGTTGTGCCATCGAGTAGTGAGGACCTGTAGCTGCTAGTGTGATCCCCAAATACCTCAGTGGTTGATCTGATGACGTCCATGTCATTCCCCCAAAATTCGGCGGGTGAGGTAGAGTTTGATGGTCATCATGTGATAGCCACCATCCCACTGTTTTAGGCCAATTAATTTTCATTTCCGAGGCCAGTTGGAAGGCATCCATCACCTTTGTTTTTTCTTTTTGTTCTTCTTTCTTTTTCTCTTTTTTTCCCAGTTCGCTTCCCCCTGGCAAGTCATGTGTTACACCATTGACACCCTCACGCTCCCTTGCGCTTGAGGACCCCTGACCAGCATTGATTGCTCTCTGTATCAGGGGGATTAACTGTCAGCTTGCCTTCTCGTGAATCACTCTCAGGTTCGAGCACTGAACCAGCCAATTATACCTTTCCATAACAAGTATCCTGACATAAACTTTGACAGGTTGTGCCTGAGGCTGCTCTTGGTCGCTTTTGCTCCTGTTCCTTTCTCCTCCTCCATGATGGCTTCGCCGTTCACCCTTCCTGTCTTGTGGGACTTTGGGGTCTCTGCTGTGGGGTTCCCTGTGTCCTCAGAGCTGTGTCCGATTTGTGCCAGTCCTTCCATTGTAACCTGTCTGCGTGTATCTCGGCCAGCTTGCCGCTGACTAACAAGATTTTCCTGAAGCTTGCCAACCGTTGCTGTTCAGAATTGGGGTAGGTTTGAATAGCCTCCTTCACCCTTCTCCACTCGCACTGGATCTCTGGTTCTATCATGCCCTTTGTTGCCGTCCATACTTTGTTGTGCGCGGTCTGGGTATTGTCAAGCGTCCGCAGCAGTGGACTTTCTACTTTGCAATCATGCAATCATGCAATCATGCAATCATGCAATCATGCAATCAATATTTGGTGTGCCTTTGTTCTTCCTTCCTTTCTTCCTTCTAAACAATGAATGTGATCCCGGCATGGAAAGCCATTATTCTGGTCAACTCACGAACCAGAGTCCCTTGGCTTCCTCCTGTCTGCAAGTCGCTGAGCAATTCGGACTGTCTTTCAATTTGTCCATGTGATGCATGGGAACCTTCGCTGCAGACAAGCAGAGTTAGTCTGAGAAAGCAGACTGCTTGCCACAACTTTCTGGTGATAACTACACAAAAGATGATTGCAACGCTTGAAGTACCCTTAAACCATCTTTTGACAGATTTGGGTGGCTCCATGGTGATGAACTCAACCTGCAAAGTTTAAGGTGATCAACAACTCTTCCTTTTTGCTTTTTTTTTTCTTCTTCAGAAAGGTCATCATTGGCTCTAAGCAGCATAATCGGTGTGATTGCTCCTCTTGTGTTGTTATCTTCCTAATCAGCGTGCTGCAGACGCGGGTATAGAGAATGTTGAGCTTGGGATGGCACATAGGTAAATCTTCACAACAAGCCAAGCCACAGACCCCTCCTCTCAATCCATTCTTCCCTATCCAATCCTACCCTACACCACCACTCTCGGTCATTGAGTACTGTTGGCAAATTCACGGCATGTGTAGAGGAGAATCAAGAAAGGAAGTATGCCATATCATGCTGGATTTTTGTGCCGCTGTCTGCTGTTGAACTCCTGTTTGGTTTTGGCTGCTCATCCGATGTTTATAGCTGAGACATTTCCGTTTTGCTTTTCCTTGAGGGGGTATCCCACAACATTATTTAGCATACTTGCAGCGCGTAGGTGAAGTGCGCTGCGCGGTGCGCAGTGCGCCAATCCCAGGTGCCCGCGCGCGCGCGCAAAAAAAAAAAAAAAAAAAAAAAAAAAAA